GATATATATATATATATATATATATATATTTATCTTTATTCTTGAATTTTTCATAATTTCTATATTAAATTTCAGACAGTTTTTTTTCTTTCGCATACATTTGCTAGAATTATTTTTAACAGTGATCAGAACTTCGGTAAGCAATACAATATAAGATACTTATATCACCTAATGTGTAAATAGATTTGCTGACATTTCCTTGAAGTTAGGAGTACAAATTTCTTTCTTTACGGTTGCATACGATCAATTAATGAAAAAAGAATATCAATCAATAAGTCCATAACCTGTACAATTTTCAGTTGAAGTTTAATCTGAAATGCTCACTGTGTAATGGATTCATTCATACATGTACAAGAAATAAAATGATTTCGAAAATTAAATACTTATTAGATACAGTTAATGAATTCTTCTATGTGCCGTGTTACTTTTGATCATGGCTCTCCACACTTTCTTCTTCATTGTAGTTCCAAGCAGCGTTTGACTCCTTACCATCCTTCTACAGTAGCTTAGTGGATTAAAAGAAACTTAAACTAAAAGAGATGTGTGGAGACTACCATGGACGGAACATGTAAGCAACAAGGAATTTTTAATGAAAACTAGGAGCAAAAAAAGAAAAGACACAATACTTAAAATCGAATCATAAAGAAACAGCTGAAATTTCTGTGACACATAAAGTGGAAAGAAGGCTTGGAAAAGTTGTTAGGCAAGTGAGGGAAGATGGCAACATAGATTAACGTACCAAACAATTTAGTATAAAAAGACAGTAGGACAGGACTGACGGGAATCGTAAGGAGTTGGACATTGCTTTACGCTGCAAAGAATAAGACTTTGGAGAGAGTCATGATCGGCTACATTCTGAAGAGAGACAGCATATAAAATAAAATGCGTGTTTGTTCTTCTACAACCCCCATATACATATATATATATATATATATATAATTATTTATTTAAAAATATGATTCCAAATCGCGACATAAGAAGTCTCATGTTTCAAAACAAGAGCCGGAAACTTCAAGATAATTATTTAAATTAAATTGAGTTAAAGTAAGCTCTGTTCTATCTTCAAGCGAATTTTTTTGGAATTCAAAAAAAAAAAAGATTCAAAAAAAATTTCGCTTGAAGATGGAACAGAGCTTACTTTAACTCATTTAAATAATTATATTGAAGTTTCCGGCTTTGTTTTGAAACATGAGACATCTTATGTCGCGATTTGGAATCATATTTTTAAATAAATAATTATATTTATGCTCTACTTTTGTATCGAGCACTATTTTTTAAAAATAATAACTAAAATACTAAGGGACTTTGGAATATTTACCTTAACCAGTTCCTTCCTATTTTCTATATATTTTCATATATATATATATATATATATATATATATATATATATATATATATATATGTATGTATGTATGTATGTATGTATGTATAGGAATAAATGTCGATATAAACCAAATAATTAGATATTAGCAACTGTATATACGTGCGTTAGCGTGCATACACAAATAAGCGAATAAATATTTACTTAATTTAATATAAGGTGTAAACAAAACAGTGCTCAATGTGGTTAGACAGAGCTAAGAAGTATATCTTAATGAATATACATATACCTACGTTCGAACGTAGGTATATGTATATATATATATATGTGTGTGTGTGTGTGTGTGTGTGTGTGTGTGTGCAGGTATGTAGAAAAATAGGAAAGAAAATGTTAGGTAAATAATCCGGAGTTCTTTAGTAATTTTTTTATTTTTAAAAAACAGTGCTCCATACAGAAGTAGAGCTTAGATTATAATTATTTTTTAAATATGATTCCTTCGCTACATAAGAGTTCTCATGTTTCAAAAACGAGAGCCAAAAACCTCAATATAATTATTGAAATTAAATTGAATTAACGTAACACACCCTGTTTCATCCTCAAGCGAAAAAATAATTATATATATATATATATATATATATATATATATATATATATGAAAATTTCTCACAGTTAACCTGTAGAAATATATATGTTATAAATATAAATGACAATAGGAAAACTGTAATAGTTGCCGACGCGTTTCGTCCAATGTGGATTTTCTCAAGACAAAAAACGAAATGAATTTATTTAAACAGAGTAACTAATAATAACAAAAACAAAATGTCTTTAGCAACTGGAAGAATTTAGAGAACGCTATTTTCATACTGTTAACTGAAAATTGCGTCAATTACTGTAACGTGTGGAAATATTGTTATTATTGCTGTGTTGACGGATTCAACCATTTTTTTTTTTTTTTTTGATTTCACGATATTGTTGTGTACGTTTGTTTGGGAGAATAGTAATTCTGTTAAGAAAGGAGAAATAGGGAAAAAGCCTGGGCGTAGATTAATATTTGGGTAATATTCAATGGCGCCACTCTCTAGGATTTTGCTTCTGAGTGAGTTATTTTCTTTTTTTATGAGTATAGCAACGTTCAACGTTGTTAAGTTTGGAGAGAAGATCTGTTAAGTTGGTGTTTAATATATATATATATATATATATATGTATGTATGTATGTATGTATGTATGTATCACAGAGATCATTTCAAATTCCAGTCGAGTTCATTATATTCATTTACGTGCTAATACCCTTAAGAAATATGTGACCCCCTCTTGTCCCCACCCCAAAGCTATTGGTAAATAACAGGATAGACTGGGTTCTATCGCCTTGTTGTCGCAACCGGATTAAGAGAAAGAAAAACCTTGAGCTATCGGTAAAAAGTCGGGCAATTTGGGCGCATGATTAGATACCACACTAAGAGAAGGAAAACATAGATTTCAATTCCGGAACCGGTGTCCCTAAGACCGTCCGATGTAATGGTCAATTTCGTTCTGGCCACTGCTGCAACAATACTGGTGCCAAGCTGTATCGTTATCTGCATTTCCCTTGGACAACATTGGAGGCATGGAGAAGGGAGACATGTTGCACGGGCAACTGCTGATATCTCATGAAAAAATATCTGCCCAGGCCTGCAACCAGGAGAGAGCATAACTATTCCAGCGCAGATCCATGCTTTCTCTCCAGATCGATGGATGCAATAATAATGATAATATATATATATATATATATATATATATATATATATATATAGAATACACACACATCCTTCCTTTAGTCTGATGATGTACTAAAGAACAAAATACACAATTGCCTTGATAAACGAAACGCGTCGGCTCGAAATGGTTTTCCTCTTGTCTTCTTATACATTTTATTCCTTTCCAAATACTCTCTCTCTATAGAAAATAATATATATATATATATATATATATATATATATATATATATATATATATATAAGTGCTATACTGTATAATAATCACAGAGTCACTAATATAGACCTAGCAGAGATAATAATGTATATTTAAATAAGTGCTAGAAATCAAGCGGTTGTTTGTCCAGTTTAGACAAGGAATTAAAATTATTCAACACAGAATGCATTGCATATTTTGAGAAAATACTCTTTTTTTTTTTTCCTTTTTTTTTTTTTTTTGATTGAAAGGGAAAAGCATCTCTGTCTTTCTACGGTTATTTTATTTCTCCTGTGTAATAATTTTGTGTAAACAAGCCTGACATTCTTAAGAGAGTTCCTAATTGACGCTTGGAGCTATTTCATCAACTTGACTCTGTCTTCCTTCACACTTTTCTTAAATATTCTTTCCTTCCTTCCTTTTGTACTTTTCTTTTAAAATTTTCATATTCCAATTCTTTTTTTTTTAACAATTTGATTTCAAATATTTATTTAACTTTATTGATTTTACTCTCTCGGCATCGTACAGTTTCATTTGGTTTTTGGTTCTGAGTGTTTACAAAGTGGTTATGAATACACAACAGATGTCTGGCACGCTGCTTTTAAAAAAACAGTCTGTTACTCTCTTCTCTCTTCAGGGCTGAGAACACTTACGGCGCACAACAGATCGTTGACAAAAACAAAAGACAAAACAAGACTATTGTGTTAAAGTTGATTTTATTTAAGGCTCTACAGCTCACCAAAAAGTAACGTTAATGATCAAAACTGCTAGCCCATTAAACCGCTGTTTCTTAAAATAAAATGGAAATTCTTTTGTCATTAATATTAGTGCAGATTTAAAAACTGTTCGAATTTTTTTTTTAGATGAAACATTGTTATTATTAATTTTTGCCTAGATGTTTTTCTCTTCACTACATTTTTGTTGATTTTTATCGCAACTCTCAAATCGTTTTTATATTCTACGGCGATGTTGTTAAGTATAAGTAGAAGAACACACGTGGGTTAAGATTTTCCTGTTAGCCGGTCCAACTACATGAGAAAGTTGTACTTTAATTAAGTCTAAAGAAGGCAAAGAAAAACAAACACAACACCGATAAATATATGTAAACAAATATATGCATTAATAACAAGAAAGGTTACAAGTTACATGGACAGTTACATGAACAGAGTGTGTGTGTGTGAATATTATATATGTGTGTGTGTTTGTGTTATGGTGAGTGTTCGTACGTACGTGTATTGTGCTTAGTGTGTTCCCAGCATTTGGGAAACGCTGTTTCTGTGAGCGTTCACATTTGCGAGGTGGTAAGGCTGAAAGCCTGAGGAAAAAGAGGAAGAGGCGAAGGGTCAGCGACTATTCATAGCCAGGGAAAGGGTTAACGAACTAAAGGAGGAGTTAACTCCGAAAATGGTTAAAGTAACTTCCGCTAAGATTCTAACTCATAACCAGTACCTTTTGGAGCCTGAATGATAAGAACGATACCTTACTGATGTGGTCGTGTCTTAGTTTGATTGGTTTATTTGTTTTCTATGGTTTATTAATCATTTGCGGGTTATTTAAATCCAGAAAAAGTCCCTACTAATTAACCCATAGCTGGAGGAAAAGATGTGGATTCATACCTTTTTCAAGGGTATTTGCACGTAAGTGAATATAACGAACACAAATGGAATTGGAACTGGTCATTCCGATTAAAAATTCCGAGCCATTATCCATTACAAAACCCGAACATCCAAGACTACAACACTTGGTATTCCCAAGTGGTCACCTATCAAGGTACTGACAATGCCCGACGTTGCTTAACTTTGGCGACCATACAGGAATCAGTGTTTCAATGTATAAGGTCATGAGTTTCAACTATTATGCGAAATTTAAATTTAGTCCCCAAACTACATTCTTCCTAGTTTTTTTCCTACACCATTTTGTTCGTTTACACCTAGTAGTAGCAGATATAATAGCCTTATCAGAATTTATTTTCATTATTTTTTTAATAGTTATTTTCTCTTATTTTTGTTGATTTTCATCGCAATACTCAAGTCAAAAACCATTAAAAAAAAAGTAGTCTTCGAAGACTCGCATCCCTTTTCTTTTGGAGCTTGTCTGACAAAGAAGAAGCCTTACCTTATATGGCCATTAAAAACCAATTAGAATTCGAAATTTAAATTTAACCAAAAAGCAATATTCTTCCTAATCGTGTTTTAGCCACACCATTTTCTTTGTTCACACCTAGCAGCAACAGTAGACATAATAGTCTTAATTTCTTTTAATTTTTTACTAGCTTTTTTTTCTTCTACTTTTGCCTTTTTTATTTTAACGTTCAAGATGTTTTTACATTCTACAACTGCTAAAGGTGAATCATTGACCGGCAAATAAAGAAGTAATCCTCAACAAGATTTGAACTTGTATCTCATATTCTTGAGAGACTGATTGACATTAACAGCGGCTGCGGATTGGCTATATAAACCGATCAGCATATCTCAATTAGAATGCATTCCTCCTTATTTAATACTCCTCATCTAATGGTCTAATATTAAAGTTCTGCAAATAATTTTCTCAGAAAATTAGTAGTGAAAATTTCCAATCGTTTTGTTTATCCTGTAAAAAATGATTATATAAGTGTGGTTTAATCTAATACGGCTAGTGGATATATCGTAAATAAACAACATTAATTGACAATTAATTAACTAAAATTAGTAGCATTAAATTAACATGGGTATGGCTCCGATGCTCCCAGCTATATGTTAAGAAAAATTAATATGATGAGAGACGCTGAGCGGTAAGCAATTAAATTTAAGTTCACGAGAAATTAAATATTTTAACGCTATTCCTCATTACCAGAAAACCATGAAAAATATTTAATGCAACACCCGATGAATAAAAATTATATTATTCCTGGTGGTCTTTCAAAAAATACGTTACGACAAAGGGGTGGGTTGGACAACTTCGGTTTCGTGACACGGAGTCGGTGGGTGGGGTTTTAACTGAATGCCGTTACGTAACGCTTTATAAAGACATGGCATCAACGTCAGGGTTAACGAAGATCTGCACTAAAAATCATTTTTCTTGTTTTTGTAAAGTATTTTTTATTCATTGGGAAATATTGGATTGTTCTTACTGTTAATGTCCCCACACTGAAACAAAAATTGTACATATGGGCCGAGTTATGACTCTATAGTGAAATACCTGTATTACGATGTCTACAATACGTAAATGTAAAGCTTTGGCGATGTGAAAAGATTCGGAGTTAAGTCAGTGATTGTGATTTTTTCTATCTCTTCAAGATGTGGGTGATCATGGCTTTACACAATTTCCTTTCCCTTGTAGCTTTTCGTAACATCTGTTTTATTTTGTTTTTTGTTTTTTTTGGTGGGGGGGTTACTATCCATCTCTACCTCGTTCTGCTATCCGGTCATACAAGTGGGTCAGTCAGGTTGCCCGGTGGCACCCACTGTCTTTTTTATGATCTGATTGGCAAATTACGTATTTCTTTCTAATTGTGGCCGTGTTCATAGCCGATATCATTGACTATTGGCGTTTTCTCTTTTTTTATTAGTGCTTCCTTTATTTGTAGTCTTTTTTTACATATAGATGAGGCTATTGAACTTGTATTTTCCACAAGTATGCTGCGAATGGAGTTTGGTAGATTTCCGTTTGTGTTTAAATTAATCCTAATTGAGCTCTCTGACCACAGCTCAGTTAAGATTCATTTAAACACACACGAAAACCTACCAAACTCAAATTCTGCACCCCAAATATATATTTCTCAATAAATTCCCAGTAAACGGTGGCCGACCACAACTGAAAGCTTCTTGCGTTCTCAGGCAATCATCACTTATTTGTGAAAATGTACACTTTATACTCCTTTGACAAGTTCAAGATGTTCTAAAGGTAGTTGATGTGTACATACCACGCACGCATTAACAAATTTATATATATATATATATATATATATATATATATATATATATGGACCCTGAGGTCAAAACCAAGCGGCAATATTCTGTTTCATGCTTGAACGCAATCTTTGAGGAATTTACACTATTTATTAATTACATTGTTTGTTGCGAAGGTTGGCAAAACATCGGCTAATTGCTAATCGATTCGAACTTTATAAAATGGTAAATAATAAGAATTTTCTTTATAGCTGGCTCACATGTTTAAATAGTATTTTTTTTTTATAAATTTATAAATCAAAGATTGTTTTCATATATATTTCTTTATGAATTAGTAAATGATAAATATTCTATTGCATTGGTTAAATTAGTTTTTTTTAGAATGCTGTAAATATAAAATTATTCTCGTAAATAAATCTAATGAATGAATAGTGTTTATTATTATTTTTTTTTAATTGTCAAGAACAAAAATATATAAATTCACTTTCATATGTTTAGGTTTTATTAAAATTCTAATCATAACTTTTTGAAAACAATGAAAATTGCCGAGGGAGGGAAGGTAGTTAAAATAATAGCGGTGGCAATTGAAAATCCGTCATTTGGACATTTTTTTCGGGCACGAAGATCCAATTTTGCCATGTTATTGTTGTGACATCCTGATTTCCTTTTATAAATTGTTAAAACGTGAACCTAACGGAATTAAATTTATTTGTCAAAAACATATCAGACCATCATCTATCTCGAAATCTATGTTAATCTCAGCAAGACCGAGTATATGCGCCCAGATAAGGCACTTGCGATTTCGAGAGCTGACACTCAGATCGTTTATTTAGGGATTAGGATTTGATGAAAACCCTGATATGTAATCATTTCTCTTTTTATATATATATATATATATATATATATATATATATATATATATATATATTGTTCGTCTCGTTTTGACTCGAAAGAATGATTGGCGTTTGATTTGAACTCTTGGAGGATGACTATAATTAATATACTGAATTTAGCTTCCATGTTTTGGCTGTTGCTGCGTAAAGGCCAGGGGATTTCTCGTTCCCTTTGTAGAGCTGCCACCAATGAGACGAAATATATAGCCTTATACTTAACCTTCAGTTGCTAAATAAAATGATATGAAGGATGCTATGAGCAATTTATGTTCATTGATAACGCTGGCTATTGTCTAAGATCTGTTCAAAGGAAGTTGATGAGATAGCATAGTACGCTGCGTCCAAAGATATAGATTACACCTGGATATTTCCACCAGTAATTGAAAGGGACCCTTTGGTGTAATTCTCTGTTTCAGTGAAGGTAGCAAATTCTATAAATCAACCTGGCGAAATGAACACTTACATATGTAAGTGTTCATATGTATGTATGTATGTATGTGTGTATGTATAAGTGTAAGTAAAGAGGTAAGTGATTTTATTTATAAGAGAATTGTCGCTTGGTCGAGTGGTGATACCCGAGCCACGAGAAGTCCTGATTAACAGAACAGTAAACAAATCGACAAATCGATGATAAGCTTTTAATTAAAATGATTCAGATCACATGAGGCTGGGCACGACTCGAAGTCAGACGCACAATTGCAAGGAGAACATTTCATTCTATCAACGCGAAATCTCGTGAGAATAATAAAAGTGAATGCAAATTCCAGAGTTGATTCAATCACGTTTGACCCAAGAGGACTTCTTCTGGAAGGTAGTAAACTCTTGACCATCCAGACATGACTAATGCTTTTCGTGCTTTTCTTTCTTTTCTTTTTTTACATTATAAAAAAGAACTTATTTATTTATTTATTTATTTGCCTTTTTCTTACACGAGGGATAAAATATATTTTTGACCTGGATAATCAGATGTACTTTTAGGGATAAAGTGGCAGGATTTCCATTCTCCTGTCGTTTTTCTGGCTGCTCTTCAAATCAAATGTCTTGTCCAGAAAAGCAGATATCTTCCCCGGATGTCTTGAAATAGGAATGCAATGTGGATAATGAAGCTGGTCGGGGTGAGGGTCTGCGTTTAGATTTATTTCATTTCATTTTCAAGAATGATATCAAATATATTTGAGAAGTGATGCTGGCGCGTAAAAGAAAACGAAATTCATTGAAGATGACTCACACTACCATTCGAAGTAGAAAAAAAAGGTTCTGAGTTTGACGGGTTTCCCCTACCTGTGGAGATAGAATGATAAACTACTGACAGAGAGGAATATCTGAATACGGACAAGTTTTATTAACTGATCCGTTTTCTTTGCAGGTTATTCAAAGCCAGAAAATATTTTTAGATTTAATTTTTTAAAATAATTATGGTTTAGTGATACGCGTCTTAATTAACCTATGGATGGGGAGAGATGAGGTAGATGCATATCTTTCTGTTGTGGTAGGATCCACCTAATTTGCATAGTGGAGTACCGACCATATAAATATGGTTGGTACCGGGAAGAGAGGGAGGAATCAAGGGATTCGTGCACCTCGAGGTGGTGTAATGGTTAGCAAGCTTGTCTGGCTAGAACAATTACAAATGAGTAGTGAGTGCTCCATACTTTCGGCCTTGTGCCACATCTAAGCAGCGCTTAGAAAAAGGTATTAGGTGGTTAGTGATGTCAGTTCTCTGGTGGATGCGGGGCGCCTTTCGTTTCGAATGGGTGATTTTTCGTATTTGTTGTTGTGTGTGTGCCTGTGTGAATGCTTGGAGGTTTGAATGTTTTTCTGATTTTTTCATAGTCCCGCATTGATTTCGTCCGGTTAACTGATGTTTCTGCCACATTTATGGTTTGTGGGGGGTTTTATTACTAACACATTTTTGTTTAGTTTTATTGTAAATATTAAGTCACATTGTATATATTCATTTGGGGATATTTTTAAATTTGTTGTTTTATGACCCTCCCCCCATGAACAATATCTGTACATAAGGGGACTAGTTAGGACTTCATAGAGAATT